GCCACGTGATGATACACGTGATGATGTGCAATCCCCATAGTGGTGATGTGCTGCTTCTCACAAAGCACCTGCATTAGAGACCTTTCTTTGAGATACAGTGAGTAGTAGTTGTCTGAAATCTCTTTCTAGCCCCAGGGTGATGTTCCTCCAACTCCTCCTCTGCCTAGTGACATGGGGTACTCAGTCTCAGCTATGTTAACACAATGTGACATCGTGTAATCCAAGGAGGGTAATGGAGAGGTCATCAACAAACCTTCTCCACTGATTCCCAAGTGCAGAAGGGACAGAGCCTCAGGGGTCTCTGTGTCATCTAAATGGGAAACGGACCTTCAAATGTGTGAGTGGATGTAAATGAGCTCTGGAAAATACAGACTGTTGTTTTCTGACTCGAGACCTGGGCTAGACAGGCAGAAAGAACAACTCATGGAACTCAAAGCACACGGCACATTTCCACCTGAAACACAGTGACCGCTTTGGGAATGTGCCTCCTGACCTACACACTGCTTTTTCCTCCTGGTCACTGAGAGAACACAATGAGCTGTCAGAGCATTATGTTGGGTCTGACCATTGTATTTTGTTTAGCCTTCCTACAAGTTAAGTTGAATCTCATTCAACAAATCTCTAAAACCTCCTTTACCTTAAAGAAGTGATTTCAGTATGCTAAGAAAAAACAGAACCAAGCTCACCCCAGAAACAAATATCTTAATCTGCAGATTCTTAAAAGAGAAAATAAATAACAGAAATATTTTTATTTCTTTTTTATCTTTGATGTGGTAACTATTGTTCCCTTTCCTCATCCTTGAATAGGGAAAATTAACTAGATCCATGGTTAGTAACCTCTCACCTACTTACATGAGCTGTGAGATCATGACATGGTCTGTGCAACTATCTTAATAAATCAACTTGTTTTAAAAAAGGTTTACAGAGTCCATAAGAATATTTGAGAACAAAAGCCCTACTGCTCAGAAGTTAACAGTAGAAAACTCCAGAGTATACCAAATTGTGTATGAGCTCACAAAAATGGTTGGAATAGCTGTACTAGAGATGTTTTCTTTTTAACATAGTTGTGAGAAATTGGTGTCTTAAGCAGTTTTTTAGATATTTTAATTGAGCTCATCACAGTAATTTAAATTAAAATGTGGTGGGGAATGGGTTTTTTAGTAAATGTCAAACTCACCCCAAATCACTAACTTTTTGCATCAACAACTTCTAAGTTTTCCCTTGAAGAGAACAAAGACATTAAATCAGCCCAGAATTTGGTGGTGAAAACTCAGGGCCAACATGTGGGCAAAACGTGGCAGAACATCATGCCTACCATTTTATGGATGTTTACAGTACCTTATAGATTTCTGTCTGCAGCCATTTCTAAAATCCCAGGAAATGTTCAAAGGCTACATAGCATGATCTTTCAGTCTCCAGGTTGTTTTTTTTTTAATACTGAATCAGTTTGTGAAAATTGGAGCAGTGGTAGGTTTTATTGGAGAAAATTTTTTGAAACCAGGCTAGAACTCTTTGCTTCAGAATGATGACAACCCCAGCCCACAAGTGAAGACCCAGTGGTCACCTACCAAAACATACCATCTTATCCGGATATCTCTTCTTTGCTCCCTGCAATGATAATTATTTAATAAAAAAAATCTGAGATTAAACTTTAGATAACAGCTCATCCCTATGTGTAAATGTCAGAGTTCTTCAGACAGCTTCAACTAGCTTCTTTTCTAGGAAGTCTGAAGATATCGCTCTTTCCTACCTTACTCCCTCTCTAAAATAAATTTTTGTCATTCCTGATATGTTTTCTATTGAATTAAAACCTTTGAATGCTTTAACTCCACAGCAGAGAAATACTGTCCTTCACAGAAATTCCCTAGAAGAAGTTGCAGGCTTTCTGCATTTATTGTAGTTATTTCAAATATAGAAAAACAGAGAAAAGAAGCAACAGGCAACTCATGGGTCTGTCAAGAGATCTAATATTTGTAGAACTTATCCAACATTCTTTTGCTCTTTTCAGTTCACACAGACAAATCATTCTTTTGTTTATGGATTTCTGTTAGATATATTTTGGCATAATAAAACTATGTGTAATTTATATTGTTAATGACACTCACTGCTTTGGAACTGAATTCCGTTCTAAAGATGGGAAATACACCCTGCTTTCAGAATGCAAAAGTGAAATAATTTGGATTGAAGTAGATGTAAACTTCTATTCCAGATTTCTACTGAATTGAGTTGAATGTTTACAGGAATGTGGTTGAGATTACATCTGTCCTTAGGAGATACAAGATTTTTGGATACCAAGTGTCAGTGTTTGGTGTTCTAACAAAGGCTTTTTGTGAGCAACTGCAGAACTACAGAAAGCTTTGCACAGGCAAACCCTAAGAACAAAAAGGAAATCATTTGGATTTTTTTTAACTAGGTTTTTCTTAGGGTTTTTCCCCTTTTATTCTTCTTTTTCCTCCTATTTTCTTTACTTTTTCTCTTTTTCTTTTTCTTTCTTTTCCTCTTCTCGCCTCTGCTACCTAGAAGCTTCAAATGAATTTTCTGGATTCTTTGAAACCTGGCATTAATTAGAAATTCAAGACCTAATGTCTGTTGCAGAATAATAATTTTATTCCTTTTCAGTTAGATCTCCAAAAAGAAATCCAAGTCAAAACTCAAAATATTCAACTGTTTCTGATTACTAATTTTGGTCAGATCACCTGTATACCAGTGTTGGTGTACGAAATCCTGCAGTTGCTTTTCAGGAAAATAGGAATTCAATCTTTATTTCGGTTATGTCCCTTTTTGGGGGGTTACTTATTGTTTCTTTTATTTGAATTTTTTCCTGTCAGAAGTTCCTTCTTTGTCTCTTTGATATTCCTTATAGCAATGACAGCTTTGACCAGGCTAGAGGAAGCAAGATGGAGTTAATGTCATGTGTACTGACAAAGTAGTTTGATAAAAAACATTAATTTTTACATTACTGATATATTCTTAGTCACTGGAACTTGCTGGATTTTGAAAGGTTCTGTAAATTCCTAATACCACATACATAAAATTAAAAAGGAAAAAATGTGTAGATTTGGTCCGTGAGGCATGATTTGAGGTCTGTCTGCAATTTTTTTTGTTATTATTGTGCATGTTAATATTTCAGGGTAGGATGTAGCTACTCTTAGTGATGCAGAATATTTCAGTCTAGTTTAGGACTGTGGTACTTGACACAACTGTCTGTACTAAAATTATGAGAGGTTCCCTTATTAAAAAAAGAGAGATTCCCAACTCTTCAGAGATGCTGTGTTCATTGTTGAGAATTTATATCCAGTGGCATTTGCAAGTACTTCATTCTTGTGAGAGGACACACCCTCTTTGCCTATAAAACACTCCTGGATATCAGAGTCTATTGACAACTACAATTAAAAAAAAAACAAACAACAAACCCAAACCAGCAACCAAACAAAACTTAAAAAAACTTATTATAATACAATAGTGGCAGGAAAAGACAAATGCTGCTTTGGGGAATCAAGTTGGAGATGAAAGAGATGAGTCAGAAGGCCAAACTCCCATCAAATTCTCTGATTTATTAGACAGCCAGTAGTGCTGACTTACCTACCAGTCTATTTCAAACTAAAAGTGGAGAAGAATCCTTCAAGTGGATGAGAGACATTGGCTATTGCAGTATTTTCTCTACATGTGGGCTACCAAGGCAGTGGACCAGGGGCTTGATCCATTCCATGCATAACCCCACTGGATTTAGGGGAGTCCTGCCCCAGGTACTCAAAAGTGTCTTTTTCTGCTGTGAGCTGCATTAACAACTTCCCCCTGTGGAACTGTGTTTGCAGGAACCAGACCGAGCTGGCCTCACACCAGCCATCATTATCACCTCCCAGTAACCTTGCAGAGCACTGGACTACAAGTCACTGCTTTGTATTTTCACAGCCCTGAGCTAATTAGTATCTGGCATCTTTAACAGAAATAAAAGACATAACACCAGAGTTTCTAAGATGACACTGTTTTCATCATGTGTTTCGTTTTTCAAAGAACATAAAGGCAGATACATCAAAAAGCCAAGAAGCCTTTTCTAATTGAAACCTCTATATTTTTCCTTTTCTTCTTAAGATATGCAAATGTATTGAGGCATTACAGAGAAAGATAAAAGGAACCCCAAACACTGTTTATACATAGCCTTTATGACTGCAGCTACTTATTTCGCAGGAGACATTATTTTGACTGGAGAAGGTTATAGAGTGGTTTGACAGAGCTCAAGGCTACTTTGCAATGCTCTAGAGGCAGACAGCAACTGGAAGGATGCCTCATCTAGTTTTGTGAGGTTTCACAAAGGTGAAGTTAGGTATGAGAGCATCAATCCAGCACTGAGATTTCATGCAGTGCTCTGTCGAAGGTGACATTCTTATACTCCCACTGCTGTTCACCTGTTTATGATCATGCTTTGAGTTACTTGGTTGGGCCAGGTTTGGAGGAAAACAAGAGAGTAGATTACTCTCATGATATGTATGATTTTTTCAGCATTCATATAATGTACCTTACATACTCTTCAGAATAACAGTGCATTATCCTTGGAACATGGGAAGGAGGTGAAAAGTTGTCTCTGTCCAAATCACTGGCATGAATCTCCCAGTACCCTTAGCCCAAAATTTGCCTCAGAAGCTTGGGAACAAGATCCACGTTATTTAGCTCGCAGGACAGCGTTTGGGTGGTGCATTTCAGTGAGGTCATTTAATAACTGTGGCACTGTAGCTTCTTTGATCAGCCTTGAAATAGTTAGCAAGGACATTTGGATCTGTGCCTCACCGTAGATCCTGTTTGACCTCTATTCCAAGCCTAGCAGCCAAATAAGTTCAAATAGAATGATCCAAATGTTGCAGTGCTTACTCAGGCAAAATTCGCTGTTTGTTTTCCCTAGATAAAGATTAAATAAAAAACAAACCAGCACTTTCGGAACTGGCTGCTTAAAAGCTGGAAGGCAACGCTTTGGAGACATCCAATAGAAGATCAATATGTAAGAGTTCAGTACAGACTGCTATTTTTTTTATTTTTATTTTTTATTTTTTCTTATATATTATCTACAAGCACAAGCTTTCATATTTTTAATGTAAAAATGCATACAGATCATTATATATATAAAATTCAACTAGACTTGTAGCAAACTGCCAGATCCAACTATCCCCAGGCTGGGGACACCTTGTCCGGATCCAGGTGCAAACCCAGTGGCTGATCCTCACTTCCATCTGTAGTTGCACCAAATCCCCAGATTTGAAGATTCTCAAAGTTCTAGGGAAGTCTTGGGTCCTGATCCAGGTTTTGCAGCGTGGGCATGACTAACTCTTCATCAATTGAAGATAAATATTTAAAAACTTCATAAATGATGACCAACTTGTTGTAGGTAACAAGTATTCACTTCACTTTTCCTCCCCCTTTTTGTTTATCATCCTTCCCATCCTCTCTCCACAGAAATGGTAGTGGGCAGAGGAGAGAAACTTGATGTTAGTGTCATATACATATGTTTAAACAGCAGCTGTAGAAACAGAATTTAAAGCATTGATGTCTGCTGCAGAAAGGCTACCAAATGTGGGTTCATGCTGCATTTGGCCTTTTCAATGCTTGGGCAATTTTGGGCTCAATTTGTGCACTGTAGATATATTACACATTTATAGCATTGCCGATAATATGTTGCAGCATTGTGAGCAACAGAAAATCAGGTTGCATTTAATACTATGTAACGTGTATCAACAGATACACTATAGTAGAACTGGCTTGACAATCAGCCCATGACACCAAAAGAAAAAAATTAATGAGCAATTAAATAAAGAAAATTGTGTTTGTGTGGGAGGAAAGGTCGCAAAATAGCAGCCTCCTTTTCGACCAAGTGTTTATCTTGGTTGGCAGTTTCCAAATTCAGTCTTTGCAAAGGAATGTTACTATTTTTATTATAGGTGCTTTATATAACAAGCGATATTTGCACAGTGGAACATTTTCTTTCACCAGGATCTTATAATTTCTCCACACAGATATTATAAAGGAAGATACAAACAATTTATTGAGATTCTTTTGGAAAGTATGAGGGCCTCTCCTTCCTCTTCTAATATGAATATGAATCATTTATTTTCTCTTGTCATTCACGTATAAGCTTTTTGTATTTTAAATGCAGCTCAACTCTGAACCCCAAGAAAGGTTTTCAGATAAAAGAATTGTTGAAGTTTTATAAGAGAGGGATGAATCAATTGCTTAGCATAACAAGACATTCCTCTTAGCTATGTTGCCATGGGATTGCAGGTAAGGACTTTGTTTACTTCAGATTTGTGCAACAGCTCTGATTTCAAAGATAACAGAATGACTTTGTGCTTCAACTTGCAAATGCTTATTCTGGCTCCTAGTGTAACATTGCTTGCAAGTTCAGACCCTCAGCTAAAGACTTCTGGTTTGTGAGCAGGCATTAGCTCTTTCTTTTACGCTTGTATTGATTCTACATTACTAATGGGACTAAAAATGGCAAAACCTCTATTTTTTTTTCTTTTTAACAAAAGTTAGAGATGTGTTGAATAGCTTGGTAACAGGTGTGTCTCAGAGACTGTGATATCACCCATTGCAAGAACCCCCTGCCCAGAAGCACAAGGTAGTGTTTCCACTTCAGGGTGTCTAGATGGCGTATGGAAATATACTTGAACATGAGGACCAAAATATAGAATTGATTCCAGAAGAGTGAAATGAGTTTTCACTGTCTAGAATACAGAAACAGAGGAGACAAATAACAGCACAAATAAAATATATAGCTGAATGTGATGTTCTTTGATGCTGGTTGGGTAAAAGAGAGAGTTTAAAAAAAATTACTTTGATAAAATACCTTGAAGTACATTCTTTTGAAAGAAGTCCTAACTTGGAACTTTTCTCTGTTGGCAGGGATATACAGATCTGACTCTTCAGCCTGTTCCACCACTTCTATGGCTACCTATAACTATCTGAAATGTTATCCAACTAGATATTCTCCTAAATCTGTGGCAATTTGTATGTGATAGCCTTTTGGAGTTACTTCATCACAGAGGCAAATAACCATGGGAAGTACAAAGCAGTGGAGAATAAAGTTGTAAGTAGTTGCTAAAAGGGGGGTTTTCCTCAAAGGAGAGCACTGCTAATATTCCCATTTATCATCCCAACCTTTGGCTGTGGTTCTACATGATAACAGTCTGAACTGCACACCACACTGCCTAAAGGGATGCAACACAACTGCTGGGAAACCAGGACAATCTGAATTAAAATCTTCCAGTCTTGGTTCTTACATCTTTTAGCATACAGTTAACAAACCAACTAGACAAGAGGCAAAATTTGACAGCTGGGTTAAATCAGATGCATGAGGGAGAAGAAAAAATGAACACCTTTTATCCCTGGCACAAAATCTGATAACATACACTTTCACTTCGATGTGCCAGATAGAAGTCACAAAAAAAACTGTGCTGGTTTAAACCCCAGAGTGCTCCAAGCAACATCTGGAAGTTTAAACAGCTGGAAATTGTGATCTTTTTGATATGGTAGAGGCCATTCACATCTGATCTGCATTTGGGCGTTAGACTTTAAATACTTGCCTTCCCAAGGATTCTGTTCTTCTTCAGTATAAGATAGACTAAGAGGAACTACTTGAATTGAAAAAAGACCAAAACAAGAAGTGTAAACAAAAGCTAAAAACTACCCATAACTAAAATCAATAGTAATATTTTTTTTTTTAATTTGACTTCATAACACATTTAGTCCCATTTCCCCAAGTACAGTACTGCACTTTGAGGGGAAAAAGCTGAAATGCCACTGGACTAGCTGATTATTTCTTCATGAATTCTGCAGTTTCATAGGATCTGGAAGAGCTGCTGAACTTCAGCTCTGTTGAAATGTACATCTTGCTGGCCAAACACTCCATAAAATAGACCTTTCCTATATTTTTTGCATACCTTGCTAAGAACATCAGCACTCATAGATTTGACAAAAATAACAAGGAAGTACAGTTTGGAGTAAAAGCACACAATGAGCCAACTTAGAGCTGGTTGAAGGTGTCAGGTAAAATTTCTGTTGCAACAGAGCAGCCTCTACATGTATTCAGTCCTGGAGAACATGAGTTGTGATGGTAGTTGATGGACCGAAGGCTGAATCTTTCTGAGCAGGTGGTTGGCTGGAAATGATGTTTAGGCACTACTGATTTGCAGGACGTTGGACTTGCCATGTAGAAGCAGAAGATTCTCTGTTGGTGCCAATTCCCGCAATCATCTTGTCCTTTGGAGTACATTTGGTGTTTTTTTCCTTGGTGTTTTTGGGTTTTTTTCCACATTAGACAGAAGCAGTGTGGCTAAATACATTTCAAAACAGGAAAATAGTATGATTCTGTGTTATTCAAAAATACTGTGATGTTTTTTTTTTTTTTCATTGCAAAGCTTTGACCATTTTTAATTAAATGTGCTCTGCCTGCCTCATCCCTGCTCCAAGCTAATATGCTCTAAAATCTTACCTGGTTTAGTACAGCTTTTTTTAGCTGCTGATTTTGGTAAGCATCTTATTAATTGCCTGCTTGACATGGGTGGTGGAGCTTCGTCTCCGAGTCTTGCCCTGGACCATCTTTCGTCGCCGTACCTCACGACACAGCTCGTAGAAGGCCTCCATAATGTTGCCCTCTCCTGTGCAAGCAGAACATTCATAAAAAGCACATGCTAGTTCCGTGGCCAGCTTTTCACCTTCCTCTGTGCTGACTTGCCTGGAGTGATCCAAGTCTGCTTTGTTCCCCACCAGGATCAGGGTGACATTTTTGGGCTTTTTAACTTCATCCAACAAGTTCTTTAGCGGCAGCATTTCCTCAAAGCTGCCTCTGTCTGTGATGTCGTAAACCAGCACAAAGCCTTCACCCCATCGCACGTGTCCTTCTTTCTGGATAGGATCCTCCTGTTCCCAAAGACAGACACAAGCCTTAGGAATTTGATTTACAAAACAGACACCAGAAGTTCAGAGAGATGTTGGTCCTCCAAAGCCTACAAAGCCATGTACAGCTGCTTTACTTTATACTTTACACACATCACCTATTTTATCACATAGCATAGGAGATCTGCCCAGCTGCCTGTGGACAGGCTGGTAGCAAGTGTTTGGAAGGGGGTCTCTGCTGAATGATATCCAGCACACAAGCTGCATAGCCCTATGCAGCATAAGCATGTGCCATGTTTTGAAAGGAAGGCAGACATGACTATGACAAAACTGCTCCTCACTTTAGTGCAAATCATGGGTTGAGGCTGTAAAGCTTTATCACTTGGCTGTAGAAATAGACTGTGACTTTATTTTTTAGTGATGACATGTTGGGCTGGCCCTGAATCAAGACGTGAGAATAATTTTAATACCAGAGTAAACCTTGACTTGTTTATTCTTCCGGGATTTGAAAACTCCAAGCAGAGTCCCTTGCAGAAGGGTCTGGATGCAGAATGCTGAGTCCAGCAGCAAGCTGATGGTGGTGATGGAGGGGGGAGCTCTGCCTAGAAGCAAATATCTGTCCCCAGAAGCAGAGCACACCTGCCACCTACCACACTGCCACCACCACCGCACTCCCCTTCCCTGCTGTCTATCCGAGCCAAGGTGTTGGATAATAGTACATGCACCCACGTACCTGACCAGCTGTATCTAGTATCTCCATGGAAACCACTTCATCATCAATGGTAGCTTGGTGACGATATGTAGACTCTAAAATAAGAACATATTGTGAAATGTATTAAAAGAACTTTTTTTTTTTTAATCTTCCTTACAGCTCTCCCAGCACAAGAGCTGAAATATGACGCATGGTTTGACTAAATTTCATCTAGTGGAGCTCTTCCAGCCATCCTGGAACACACGCAAGCCCTTTCTACGACAGCGGCACTTTTACGTCTCTCTGTACGGCACAGCTTTTTCTTTCCCGTGTGTTAGACCTGTAAAGGGCTGTGCCTGTGGACACTGCACTCTGCACCCAACAAGAGGACACTTTCCTGGGGCAGAGAGCTCTGCAAGGCTGTATTCCATTTTTCGTGTTTGCTCCTAGGCAAGGCCTGTGAAAAACAAATACTACAACTCTCAAAGTATCCAGCTCAACAGTCTGTCACTGCACAGCTTGAAGTCTCACAAGATCAAAACCAATATGGTTGCAGATCAAGGAACCTAACCACTAAGCTCAGGCCTTATACTGTGAAAAAATTCCAGATCAGTTAGCTATTTTAGGAATGTCTGTTTTAAACATTCTGAAACCATCACATTCCCCTCTTCTAGCAAGGGATCAAGCAGTGATTTCCCTGTGTATGATTTATAAGGATAACCAGAGGGCATTAAGCATTCACACCATGCTATAGGAAAAAAAAAGGAACCTATTTACTATGTCTCAGGTTCTGGAACTAGGCAACTAATCAGAAAGCTAATGACAAAAAAAGGCTTGTTTTATCTCAATAAGCTGATAAGCTAAATTTGATAGCATTTGACCTAAAACTTGGAAAATTATCTGTGCTAACATTCAGATTTATTACTGTTGCTAGCTCACAGATGTCCTATATCAAAAGGCAAATGTGTATGTTGTAAAAGTCTGGCCAGTGACTGTGAATGCTTTGCACTGTCAGAGATACAATTCTTTCGTTTGGTGCAAATCTCTTCAACAGAAATGAAGGATATCTTGCAGGAAACACATTTCTTTAACTTGAACTTCTGAAAGGGCTCATCCTTTTTTCGTTACGTGCTTAAGAATGTCAGCTCTTCATAACCATGAATGTTTCAAGCTGTCAGTGCTGCAAACACCCTCTTCCCAAAACAAAAATGTCACTCCCTCCCTGTCCCACCTTAATTGCTGTAATAGCCCAGCTGTCTCTAACAGGGACAAATGGTCAATTTACTTAAGCAGATGGTAAGCACTCTTACTGCAGGGTTTCAGACAATGAAGACTGGGGTTTTTTAAAGGCTGTAAATACTTCTTCTGTTTAGTATTTTGAGGCTGTTGAAGGAGTTGGAGTCTACCTTTATGATCCTGAGGCTATACCTACAGAGCAGAGTAAGACATATCTAAGTCTCTCAGTGGTATGTCTTACCTGTCTCTTCCACACACCCTCTTAGATGCAGCAATTTCCTCAGGGAATGCAGAAAAGGCAAGAAGCTCTAGTTTGGTGTGGAAGCTGCAGTGATGTGCCTTCAATGAGTTATTTCAGTGGCTAGAATGTTCAGCGCTACATTGGGATTCCCTGTGTAGTAGTCCAAGTGGAAGGTTATTTAGGAATTTAACGCTTTGTTTCTTGGGGGGAGGGTGCTATGAAGAAGAGATGGCTCTCTGAGTAAGTAGTGTGGTATTAGCTCCTTACTTGTTAAGACTTTGCAGTGCTTGAATGCCTGCAACCATCTGGCCCTGCTTAACAAGTAGCTGTTGAGAATTGTTCCACAGAACTTGAGAAAGTGCTCACTCAGCCCCGACTGCAGCATATCTGTGAAACATCCTCCTTAGGAGGCAGAGCAGGGAATGCCATGAAGATCTTCCCTGTGAAATGGGAGAGCAAATCTCAACCAGTAGACTCGTGCTCGCTGCAGAAAAGCAGCATGATTCTGAAACGATACTTGAGTTCTCAAAATAGGACTCTGGCAGCACTTTATGTTGCAAGTTTAACTCACTTTGGTTGCTCACGCTGGAATGGAATTTGATCTTGGATGAGTAGCATCAATTTGGGTCAGATTTGTGTAAATAAATCTTAGTAAATGTGTCTTCCTGTGCTTTGGAATGTGTGGTAGCTGGGTGAATTTTAATGAGCGTAAAACGGCTGGATGTTGAAAGCATTTTTTTGGTGTAATCACGGACATGGCTGCTCCTTCAAGAGAACAGAAACATCTGAAGAATCTGGTTGTCTTGTAACTTATGAGCCCTGAAGATGTGAGCTCCAGTCTGTTCACACTGATCCCATGGTGCTTTACAAATGCATTGCCTTGCTTTGGTATTTATTAATATCGTTTTCCCTTTGGTGTTTGTTTTTTTTTTTGAGACATGCAGCTAGAGAGAAATTACAGGACTTGAGATAACTGCTGGATTCCCAACTGAAACCATAGACAACACAGGTGTCTGTGCTCAGCTAAGCACCCTTGACTACTATTAGAGTTGATGAAGTAAAATAGCTGCTGGATATAGCTTGTCTGAGCTCTCTCTCAGGATAAATCACACCTCAAAAGCACTTGGAAGACTAAAATTGGTCAGATGAATCCAGGCTCTAAATGTCTCATGCTTACATCATCATGGTTAAGCAGAAAAAGAAAAGTGTAACACTGTACCAGTGGCTCCCAAAATGGCTTCAGGCAACTTCCTGAGCTTCAGGTTGTCATTTGCAGCAGATGATGCCCACTTCTTCTATCTATAGCTATATGGCTAAAACCTCATAGAGGGAAAGGAAACTGTGGAGCTGTGTTTTGCTCTCCACAGGCTTGGCATCAAATCTGCCAGCTTCAAAGCAGAGTTAGGGAGCTGCTGTGTTGACTGAGCTGTGATTTGCTCGAAGATGACAGTGCTGTGGAAATAGTTAGATTTAGTGGGTTGCTCTGTTTCAGTATAAATAAGTAAATCTGACCTGTTTCTTGTTGGTCTGTGCTATGCTTCTAGTCATATTTGCAATAACAAGCTCAAAGGTGCTGATAAGTGTGGCTTTGAAAGATGATGCCAGATTTCTGAGTCCCTCTTGATTATAAAGCTGCAATCCCCTCATCACTCTTGCCATGCAAAGTACTCTTGGTTCTCATAGTCCTATTGTTTCAAAAATTGAAGCTTATTTCAAAAGTATTTAGAGTTGTCAAAAGGCCTGAGAAGCATGTTGGAAAGTGGTAGAAGTTGGCTTGGTTTTAAACCACAATAATTTGTTAATAGGAACTGAATAAATCTTTCAAATTTCCACGGCTGCTGAATGATTATGGAAACGATGATTTCCGTGAAAAAAAAAAAAAAAAACTTCCCTGGGGGCTCTCAGTGTTTATAAGCATGTTACAAATCTCCCTATTCTTCTTAGAAATAGGATTTTTAAAAATATAGGGAAAAAATCCTACTTATATAGAGAAAACTTTGAAGCTTATGACTTACAGACTGTGACCCTATTCACGCCCCTAAGGAGGCACAGGGCAGGACAGCCAGTGTATGCTCTGGGCAGTCAGCAGGCAGATGCATCTGCACAAGCCAGGATGCAGGGCTGTCCCTGGTCCATGAAGATGGACAAAGACTGTTTGTAGATGACCTTAGAAGAAGATTAAGGTGCTGTGGGGACTCGTGGGGGATAAAGGATGCCCTATGGAACACAAGGACACAAGCAAACAGCTGCTGCAGTATGAAATATGGAGAAAAATTCAGAAGAAATGAGGTTTCATTAGGTCATTGCTTAGAAAGCAGTTTGGGTTTTATCATGTTTTCCTATTTTTACTACAGTGGGAAGGTAATAGATTGCTAGTGCATGCATAGCCCCACTAGACTATAAAGTTCTCATCTTGATATGAAAGGATTTTTTGAATTCCTAGAATTTGCTCTTTTTATTAAGGTAAAACACATGGGAGATTTTTTTCTTGATGTGTTGATATTTTCAATAAATAAAACTTTGGCCTCCAAACAGAAACTGTAGAATGCAGTTTTCTTGGAGATACCTCTAAAAATAATGGGAAGTATGTTTATTTGTTGCCTTCTGCATATGATTTTTTCTGCTGCATGCACAGAATGGGTTTCTTTTGAGGGGAAGTGAAGTGGTGTTACATTTCTTTCCCTATAGGTTCTGTTCTCATCTATCTTTTCCTGAGAAAGGCAGAGAAAATGTGTACAGGTACCTGGGAACTGGATTCATTAAGGCATGCTAAAACAAAACCAACAAAGACAGAGCAGTGCTAATTAGTAGGGACCAAGCTTCAAGGTTTAAACAGTTGTTGGTTGTTTTGTTTCTTTTTTTTTAATTTTCTGACTTAACTTTCCCAACAACACTTGACAGTTGGTTCCTGGTAGGAATTATGTCCACGATAAATTTCAGACCGAATAAATCTTATTTTGCTATGCCTTTTTGTTTTATTGTGGCAAGAAGCCTGTGTTGGTGAAGCTGTTTCACCTTATTTTTTGCCAATGAAAAGTAACCAGTGAGACTTTTCTCACACCTAAACCAAGCAAAACAAAAGCCTGCTCTCCTGAAGGTGCAAAAGCAGCACCGGAAAACTGGAAAACATTTCAGAATATGATGAGCAAGAAAAACAGGGGCAAAATATTTTGCAGCTGTAGCTACAGTGAGAAGAGCCACTGCCATTCTTGTCTGTTGAGCTACCATAAAAAAGCACTATTTTCATTGCTGACATCAAGAATATCTTCATCTTGAGACTCATATGAAAGAAAACAAACCACATTTTCAGATAACTGCTTCCCATGTTATTGTAAGCATCTTCCTCTGCTGCTCTCAATTACAATTTCATCATTTCAAGTCTTTGTTGAGCATTTTAGAAGCCAGTGTTGGTGTTTTAAGGTGCTCTAGGCCATATGAGTCCATTTCCTTAGAAACACCTCAGAGAAACTGGGAATACTTTCACAGCTCATTGCTATAATATACATTCAGTATAAATTCCTCCTGCTGAAGAGTACAGTAAAAATGATGCAACATATTAAATGTATATCAAGTTAAATAATGCTTCTACTTTTTTGATGAAGGAAAAATAGAAGCCTGGGGAGATGCCTAGGAAGGCAC